GATCTATTGTCATTACTTGTCTTGTTCGACTGCCTCTCCTTCTCCTTTGCATTCCCTCACTTCCCTACTTAGTAACTGCATAAGCCTGCTCTTTGGAATTCAGGGAAGGACTAGGAAACTGGAGTCTTTTTCTACAAACGAGAAACGGGGAATACAGAGAGACTTTTGTAACCAAGAGGCCCCTGCAGGGTTCTGCTCATTTTCAATCTCCTCTTTTCTTTGATTCTCTGCCATTTTGAGGGGAACAGCTATGGGACAAGAAAGGGAATAAAGTTTTGGATAGAGAAAGTGAAATTGAAGTTGCTCAATCATGTCTGACTCTTTGTGACCACATGGACTGTAGCCTACCAGGCTCCTCCGTCCATGGGATTCTCCAGTCAAGAATACTGGAGTGGGTTGCCATTTCCTTCTCCAGGGGATCTTCCCAACCCAGGGATTGAATCCAGGTCTCCCGCATTGCAGGCAGATTCTTGACCTTCTGAGCCACCAGGGAAGCCCTTGGATAGAGAGGATAAATTTAGTAGAAGAACCAGGCTTTAGAGGCACTCAGTTTTGCTGTATTCATTCTGTTCTCTGCCCCATGTTTTTCTGTGTCTTCACATGACCTACAAAGACCCAGTTGCCACATAAAGTCATTTTTTCTGAGCAGGAGTTACATTTCCAAGTGGAAGGAGACCATTCAACCCAATACAGGTGAGAAACCAGAAAAAAAAACTGGGTACAAATACCAGAAACAACAAATGGCAATCCACTCCAGTATTCTTGCCTGGAGAATTCCATGGACAGAGGAGCCTGGCGGGCTACAGTCCATGGGGTCCCAAAGAGTCAGACACAACTGAGCAACTAACACTTTCATCTTTTTTTTTTTTCACCAGAAACAAAAGGATGTGCATGCTTAGCAGGTAAAATTCAAAACCAACTGATATCCATAATACCACGTAAGTTACCAATCCTCAAATCATAAAAACAGAGGAGATCTTGAGCAAATCTGTTGTCCCACTGTCTAAAAACCACAGTGCCTACTTAACTACACTTGGGAAACTCCACAGGGAACCAAATTCTACAACCAGGAATCGCTCTTAAGTGGGAATGCTTCTTAGAGGCTGAGCTAAATTTGTAACAAGCCTGAAGTCTGGAATTCTCTTCAGGCAAATTCACAACTGTTCTGACTTCACATGTGTCTGAGATATTCAGAGCCTTACCCTCCAGGGAATTCAACTTCCGTCCTTAGAGCACAGCTGCATCTAAAAATGTAAATTTCCTTTGTGAAGGCAAAAAGTCAACAATTTCTGAATCTCCGGCTTCAGGAGGCACATGTTCCAACATGCCTAAGCTGGACCCAGCTCCTCTGAATTACTGTCACCAAGATTCTAACCCAATTGCAGATTTCATTTCTTTTCCTCCTTGCAGGAGAGTCAACTTTCAATTTCTTAGGGGGAAAAAAATGTAGGAGAATTTCATTTAAACTCTTAAAAGTGGTAACCAATCTCTGGATGGTAGGATAAAGGAGGGTTTCACCACAGTATAAATTATTTTTAAATTAAAAAAATAAAGATGCTTATAAATTTAAAATATCTTCTAGCGGTTCTGCTAAACCCACTATAGCATATTAGCAAGGTAACAACCACAGATTTGGGATATCCAATGAATAAGAAAATTTCTCCACCGGCAATAACCAAAACAAACAAACAAAAAAATCTAAGTGAAAAGAAAAGCGGTGGAAACAGAAAAAAAAATTCCAGCCAAGTGACATTTTCCATTCTCATTTCCTCAAAGAAGCAAAGATTTCCCATTTGGTGCAGTGATACTCCCTGGAACCTGAGTCCACGCTCGGGGGACCCGAGTCTCAGGTCTGACTCACAATGTTGCCACTCCCCAGCTGTGTGACTCAGGGCGAGTCACTTTACCCATCCGAGGCTCTATCTTTTCATTTTCCAAAAGTATCTCTACGGTTCGACTATATTTATATAGTTGTCATAACACTCAAGGGCTTCCCCAGTAGTTCAGTGGCAAAAAAATCTGCCTGTGATGCAAGAGCCCCAGGAGACGCAGGTTCTATCCCTAAGTTAGGAAGATACCCTGGAGGAGGCCATGGAACCCACTCCAGTATTCTTGCCCGGAGAATCCCGTGGACAGAGGAGCCTGGCAGGCTACAAGGCTATGGTCCAGAGGGTCGCAAAGAGTCGGATATGACTGAAGTGACTTAGCATTCACGCACACACACACACAACACTCAAATGGGTCCACCTATGAGCAAGAGCTCTGAAGGGCATTGCAGACAGACGCTTTACCGTCTGAGCCACTGTGAGGCCGATAAACATGATAGGAGGTTATTATTAAAACTATTAATTATTTAAGCATGTGTGGCATCCTGCCAAGGCCCATTAAAGCACATACACAAATAAAAGGAAATCCTTTTTCTCAAGATGGTGGTCATTTTTGCTCGCTTGTTTTAATCTCAGGTGTGCTGAAATGACCTCACTTCTCAGCCCATGGAGTGTGATCACCGACCCTTGAAAGCTTCCACTCATTATTTATTCCCTTTCAGCTCCATTCCTCACTACCATTTACCTCCTCCCTGCCTACAGGCAGTTATTTTGTCCTGTTTAACTTACAGCGTTTTATACATATTCCTTAAATGCTGTATATATTTGCATGCATATACTTTTTATTTATGCTAGTGGCATGGTTTAATGTTTCATTTGCTTCCTAAATGAAGCATAGAGTTCTCATTATGTTAAGATCTGTGTTCTATGTTGCTGTCGTATATGGGATCTGCTTCCACTATTTGGATGTTGAACTTAACCTGCACCCATAGCACTTTGCCAGCCTGGTTTTCTAGCTTGAGGGACAACCCTCTACCATGACAGATAACTCTGCAGTGAACATCTTTGTTCAAACCTCCAGCTACAGCTACGAACCAGCTTCTAAGGTATGTGCATACTCAGTTAACTTGTTCTCCAGTCCAACTTCCTCCCAGCAGTGGGGAAGGCACCTCTATTTCCCATCCCACCACACCTGGCATTATCCAGCTTCCTAACAGATATATAGATATAGTCTAACAGTCATAAAGGGATATCTTATTGTTGTTTAATTTTCATCTAACTGGTTTCTAATGACATGAAGCACCTCCTGATGTGTTTATTACTTGAGATGGGGGGATCCTTCTCCTGACAATTATCTGTTCATATCCTCTCCCCATTTTGTTAAGAGTTGCTAATTTCTTCATGCTGATTTGAGGATTCCTTGCATAGCCTAGATTTATCCTCTCCCATTCTGTCATCTATTAACTTTGTCCATGGTGACTTGATGTAATCTGTCATTTGAAGGTAACCAGATTCACCTCTTTTCTGCCTTGCGGTTTGCACTTTCCACTAGATCTTCCTCACCACCCCCACACCTGGTCCCCACACCCCCCAGCCTTACACCAAATATCCAGCAAAACTCACCTTGTAGTTTTGAAGGAGGAAACGGACAGAACAGGTTCCATCTAGAAAGCAGGACTCCATGTTGGGCCGGACTGTGGACTTTGAGCTCCGTGCCCAGTGTCTATGGAAACGACATACAAACTGGAAAATCAGACCCCTGGGTGGAAGGGCCTCAGGGCTCACACCTAGACTCTCCACCACCTAAAAAAAAAATACCGTAATTATCTGTGTAACCAAATAGAATCATAAATTCTATTATGCTTATTGGGGTATGACCACAGGCCTATTGATAATTGTCCACTGTTAACTACTTAGGTTTAAGGCATATGAATCATGGGTTTAAGGCATACGAATCACGGGTTAACTTTGAGTGTATCTTTCTTTTCCTTTGTTCAGACTAGTTTCAGAAAATGTGGGGAGGTGGGTTTGAGCATGTAAAGAGATGGGTGTGGGAGGTGGGAAAGGAGGTGGGGAGGTGGGCATACGCTTAGGGTATATAAGGTTTTCACAAAAACCAGTCAGGGTCCTTGGCTAAGAGGAGACTCTGCCTTGGGCCCGCCGGTGTAATAAACTGCACTCCACTATCTGCATCGTCCTGAGTTGGTTTCCCGGAACCCACGGCTACAACAGTTTCAACTCTCCTGCTGGCTACAAAGTGAAATCCAAACACTTGTTCTCTCATACAGGACCCTTTCCAGCCTAATCCTGAACATTCGCACCTCTTTTCTGCTACGTTAGCCCCACTTCCGTCCCATCCCGCTTCTGCTGGTCTGTCTTGCATACACTGTCCACACTTTAACAGACCCACATTCTCCTTCTCAGCAGGCAAATATGAAGATGCTTCTGAAACAGGAGGAAAGGTGGCAGGGCCCAACTTTTGAAAGAACGACATAGCCAAGGATATAATATAAACCAATTAGAATCAATGGGTCCAAGATGGCAGGCGATTCAACTTTGATTAGACCTTGATCCTCTATCAGCAAGCTAAATGATACTCAGAGGTCCTGTGACAGTTCCAAGGTACAATCAAAAGACCAAAAAGTGGGCAGTAGCCCAACTCCTGGAAATCTCCACCCCTTCTCCAAAATAGTTGGAATAATCCTCTCACACATTCACCTATGAAATTACCCAGCCCTTAAAAACTAACCACACCACATTCTGAGGCGGCCAGACTCACCCTCTGAGATGGTCCACAATCTGTCTGTGGAGTGTTTCTCTTCAAATAAATAAACCCGCTTCTTACCTATCACTTTGTCTCTCACTGAATTCTTTCTGCAATGAGACATCAAGAACCTGAGCTTCATTAGGTCCTGAAACCAGGCACTGTGGGTTTAGGCTGGGTTCAAGTCCATGTGGATTTGAGTCCCAATCTGAGATACAGGGTTTCACTTTCAACTGTTGCTTTTGCTTTTGAGTAGCTGGGAGTCTTCCTCCTATTCAGTACACTGTCAACATTTGCACATTTAACAAGTGTGGTTTCTATTTTAGGAGACAGTCCAGATGGCCCACAACCTGTTACTGTGAGTATCGTCATAATCATAGAGTAACATCCAGAAGAAGACTCACATCTCCATTTTCCAAGTCAGGAAGCCGAGTCTCGTCAAAGAAAAATGGGACTGGACATGTCTTACCGATGGCACGACAGATTTTATTCAGACTTCTGCATAGAGGAGAGAAACTCCACCATAAACAGGTCAGCTCCAGCTGAAACAAAGATAATTGAGGTTTTTAAATGGAGACCAGAGAGGGAGTCAGAAAAGGGGGTATGGGAAATGAAAAGAGCTAAGAAAGAAGGAACTAGGTGGGTTACAGGGAAAATGAGCAATTACAGAAGGGGATGACTGGAGAATTACTGGAAATGGTTTGAAAGAGTGGGTTGGGACAATGTGGATTTTGCAATGACAACATTGCACTTTCTTAAGCAAGAATTCAGTTCCAGGGCAGGGGTCACCTTAAGGCGATCTAATGCAGATGGAAGCTGGGCTGAAGTTTCCTAGCTGTGGCATTTAGCCAAGTCCTTTGTGCTGCAGAGAGTTTACTGATCAGTGGTTAGGTTATGCACATATAGCTGCACAAGCAGCGAGGCAAAGCCTAGATTTAGACGCAAGCCTGCCCGACCATGACACCCAAATTCAACCCTTGTTTCTGGCTGTTACCTGTAATTCTGCTGAGATGCTGATCTGGAATGAGGAAGCATTAGAAGCAGGAGGGAGGCACTTAGCTGGTGAGGCTGCCCAGTTGCCCTCGGTGTCCTAGGTCTCCTCTGGTCCTAAGGTAGCGGCAACTCTTGTGACGGAACATAAAAGCCATTTTTAAAAGTCACTTTACTCTGGACAAGGGAGTGGCAATCCACTCCAGTATTCTTGCCTGGGTAGTCCCAGGGACAGAGAAGTTGGGGGCTACAGTCCATGGGGTCACGAAGAGTTGGACACAATTGAAGCAGCTTAGCACATATGCACGCCACTAAGTGGGACACACACATACACCCCATGGGAAAGTTGGAATGATTAAGATGTAAGAAAGTGCAAGAACTATACACTTCTTGATGGGAACGTGATGTGGGAGAAAGCCTAAACTTTACTTCACGAATCATGGCAACTCTCGGAAGCTTCTAGAAGTAGCCCTCCCAAACGCCACCACCCTGAGATACAATGAACTCTCTGTGTAGCTTTTGGCAAACAGCACAGTTCTGGGAATCACCTGAAATTGGCCATGAGGCACTTTACTGAAAGCCACACCCTCAGCAAAAAGAGACATTAGCAGCAGTGCTTTCTGTGGCAGAGAACACGGGGTTGTAAACCTCGAGTCCCCCTCGGAGTCTAATTTAGATAATTATAGTGCACCTCCTAGGACTCTCCCTGTGGATACAACTGGCTTTGGTTGTCATCGTTACTGCTGTTCTTCCAAATTATGGGGCAGGGCCGGACTATAAGGCTGAGCCCGCGACAGGGAAAATCTAGGAGGGAAGGCGGCTTCCTCTATCAGCTAGCAAGTCCCTGTCTGACAGAAAGGATCATTTTGCTCAGAGCACAATGCACCTACATCTGGTGTAACATCATCGGGAAAATGAGCGAGCTTTTCCCGTCCGGCAGACTTTCGCAATGAGGACCTCTTGCAGTGTCCTGGGAGCCTGGGTTCCCGGGTTCTGGAACACCAGCCATCCTGACTCAGGTGGAATCCACTAGAACACCTGGTGGGAGCCAGACCCTGTGAGCCCGACCCTGGTTCCCTGTGCCAAGACTCATGGTTGCCAGCCTCCCTCTCAGGCAGTCATGCAAGGCCCAAAGGGGCCCTGCCCGGGACACGCTCACAGCCCCCGCACTCACCCACCCACTCGAGATCCAGCTGCCAGCCTCTCGGAGCTGGGCTAGGGCCTCCATCGCAGTCATTGCGAATGACGACATATGTTTCTGTGTGTGTAGCCCCCTTCGTGGGCTTCCCCCGTGACTCAGCAGCAAAGAATCTGCCTGCAGTGCAGGAGACCTAGGTTCCCTCCCTGGTCGGGACGACCCCCTGGAGGAGGGCATGGCAGCCCACGCCAGTATTCTTGCCTGGAGAATCCCACGGACAGAGGAGCCTGGAGGGCTACGGTCCATAGGGTTGCAGAGAGTTGGACACGACTGAAGCGACTGAGCACACACGCACACATCTCTTCGTGGTGAGCCGTTGTGACGAACCGACAAACTTCGAGCACTTGGCATGCAGAGGGGCTGGGCAGTTGGGGGACGGGCTCCATCCGGTACTGGCTGTGGGGGGTTGGGTCCCTCTCCCATTCTGTGCCTCCACTTCCCCCACTGAAGAATGTCACAGGTGAAATAGCTCATTTCTTAATGCCCAACTTCCATTCTAAGACTTCTAGCCGCAGCCTAGGCCCGGCTAAGGATTCTTCCAAGGTCAGATTTTATAATCATCACAACATGTGATGATTAGAATAAAGACTAATGAAGACTAATAAAACTTCCTAGAATGAAGACTAAAATGCAGTACATCAACTACACTTCAGGAAATTCCCTAGTGGTCCAGTGTTTAAGACTCTGAGCTCCCAGTGTAGTGGGGGCAGGTTTGATCCCCGGTTGGGAATCTAAGACCCCGCATGTCTTGAGGCCCAAAAACCCAAACAGAAGCAGCATTGTAACAAATTCACTGAACGCTTTTAAAAACTGGTCTGCATCAAAAAAAAAAAAAAAATCTTTTAAGAGTATATACTTCAATTAATTTTCAAAATTAAAAATAAATAACAAAGATTAATTAATTAATTAGAATAAAAAGACCAAAATGTGAATTACGGTCGGGTGACTCAAGATGGTTGCTCTCTTGCTCTCTGTACATGCCCTGCTCGATCAGCGCTTGCTTCACCAATACCTACTTCCCTTACTGACCAGCCCCAGGCCCCAGCTAGGATTGTTCCAGCTATATATCAGAACTCTCCACTATGCTCGTCCAAGGGGCGGTGAGGGGGCGTGCCCTTCTGCTAGTTTCCCTGGTAACCGGTGAGCCAACCGGACATCAGTTCCCCCTGTAATTGGCAACCGTCCCGTCCCACCCATGGGAGCAAAGACTGCCACCGTGTCCTGCCAACCTGACAGCCACTGTGTCAGCGGAACACAGTGGAGGGAGCTCCGGGACCCTGCTCCAGGAAGCTGGGTGTAAGCTCCCCCATCCGTGAAACCACAGATGTCTCTGCTGCCAGCTCCTGGCTCTTCCTTCTGTCTTGGAGTTGGGCGAGCACAGGCTTTGTAGATGCGCAAGGCGCAGCCCGACAGAAACAGACCTCCAAGAGCCTCGCAGAGACTGAGGACTGGGGATGAGAGATGGTGAAGTCCTGACAAGAGATGAGGGGAAAGGCCCTCGCTAGGAGGCCTCCCACCCATCAGGAACAGAAGGGGACGTTCCAAGCTACTAGGGAACCTGACACCATCACTGCCACAGCTAAAAGACCGTCCTGTAATGCCAAGACCTTCAGTCCCTTGGAGAAGGACCAGTCAAGGTACCCTCGGGGAGCACGCTCCTTACTTGTTCTCGGCACTGGACGACACAGTGGTGTGGTCTTCTGGCTCCTTCCTGACAACCAGCTTAGACAGTCCATCTAAGCATCAGTGAAATCTACTAGACTCTGCCCAGCCTTCCTCACCTGAGGGTTGGAGCCTGAGAGTGAAGAGGAAGGAGCTAGACTCTGAGAAGGACAGGACCAAGGCCAAGGACGGTAGACAAGGGGCCGGCTGCCCAAGTCAGCTGAGGAAGGCAGGAGACCTTTAGCTGGAAGGTGGATGCTCAGGCTTTCAGACACATCTGTACCCTGGCTTTCAGGTCACACACAGCAGTTGGGGAGAGACAAATGCCTCCAGGCAGGGCCCTCCAGAAAGGAGAGGACGCAGGTCTCCTTAGAAAGGGAATGAGTGGCCCAGCCCTCACTGGCCAGGGCTGGAGCCTGGGAGGGTGGGGGCGGGCACCAGACTCGCACACGGCAGGCTGGCAGCTGCCAGAACACGCCACATAAGCATCGGGTGGAAACTCTGGGACTGCTGTGTGCGCGTCTCAGCTCAGCTGGGTCCATTCAGTCCCACCCCAGGGAGGAGAGAATCCGCAGGAGTAGGAGGGGAAAGCATTATATCTGTCCACCCACATCTCAGGGTCAGCTTAGCGCCCTCTGGTACCTAGAAAAATGCCTTCAGTCTTCAATCCAGGCAGTCTGCTCACCCAGATCATGGTCCTGTCTGCCGTCCTGGACAAAGCCCTTTGCCGCTCCCAGTAGCCCTCTCAAAACTGTGACAACCAAAAATAAAAATTAAAAAAAAAAAAACTGTGACAACCACACTTGCCTCCAGGTGTGTAAGAGACAGACTGGAAAATGCATGGGAAGCTTGGTCAAAATCTACAGGGAAGGAGGACTTCCCCGGTAGTCTGACGGCTAAGACTTCCCTTTCCAGTGCAGGGGGTGACAGGTTCAATCCCTGGTCTAGTCGCTAAGATCCCACATGCTTTCGCATACTTTGCCACCTCAGCCCTGCTGCCCTCTGCCCGCCATGGTCCCCTCTATCAGTGAGTGGCACCAGCATCCACCCATCCAGGATTCAGCTTCTAGGGAGTCCTTGCTGACAGCACTTCCGCTCCCTGGCCCAATTCCAAACTGTGAATCTAGTGGAAACCCTGTGTGTGTGTGTGTGTGTGTGCGCGCACTCAGTCATGTCCAACTCTCACCACCCCGTGGACTATAGCCTGCCAGGCTCCTCTGTCCATGGAATTCTCCAGGCAAGCATACTAGAGTGGGTTGCCATTCCCTTCTCCAGGGCATCTTCCCAACCCAGGGATCGAACTACATAGCTTTTAAGTTCCTCCTCCTGCTCTGATCCAGAGCACCACCCTCTCTTGCCTGGGCCGTTCCATTGGCCTCCAAGCTGGTCGCCTCTGCATCTCCTCCTCTGCCAGAGTCAGCTTTCCAGGAAGCACATCTGATCGCATCACTGGTTCAAAATCCCTTCCATGAGGACTTCCCTGGTGGTCCAGTGGTTAAGAATCCACCCTGCAATGCAGGAATTGTGGGTTTGATCCCTGGCCAGGGAACTAAGACCCCACGTGCCCCCGAGTAACTAAGTCCATACAGCAGAACTACTGAGCCAGCACGCCACACCTGGAGGCTCTCTGTGCCACCCTGAAGTTCTGCTCTGCGCCGAAACTAAGACCCAGATTTTAAAAATGCCTTCTACAGCTCTAGATGGGGTCAAGCAGGGCCTAGGGAGCCTGGCCCCGCTTCTTCTCAGGCCTCATCTCCTCTTGCCTTCCTGACTGCTGCCCCGTGGGTCTTCCATCCGACTCCCAAAGAAGGGCGAAGGCCAAGCCCTCTGTTCAGGCTGACCAGAGGGTACAGGAGGCCAGGGGAGACCACAGCACGTGCGCACAGGCCCTGACCTCCGGCTCAGCAGAACAGGCCCCAGGCAGCCAGACGCAGCGCGGGGGCCCACCTGCTCTCAAGGACAGGGTCCTGATGAACTGCCCCTGCCCTCTGTGTTGGCTCAAGCCCAGAATGTCTCTGACACACCGGCTTGAAATTCTTCAGGGCTTTAAACCTGCTGAATCTGGGAACAGCTTAATTACGGCCAGAGAAATTCCTCCATAATTTTTGAGCCCATTTAGAATTTGATGCTTAGAAAGCGAACTCTTTATTTGCTCAGAGCGAGAGTGTTAAAAAGCCCCCAACAGACAAAAGCACTATTGATGAGCCTGCTCCGCTCCCCTCCCCTCTTCTGGGCTTCGTTGGGCAGCTCGACGTGTTGGTTGCTTTTGTCTGTGTTTTGTCCTCATTTTCAGAGCTGGTCCAGGAAAAAAGGCAAGACTGACAACTTGAAAAGAGAATGGCCCTCTCCCCCTCCGTCTGGAAGGGCCAGCATCACCTTGGCAATCAGCCAGCCTGATTTAATGTCCTTCCTAATGATGGGAAAGGGCTGGTAATTAAAAACCTGCAGACAAGACCCTGTCAGGAGGCATGGCAAGCCCAAGGGAACTCCCGGGGCTGCACAGAGGGGGCTCCCAGTCTCTGCCACCCCTGTGGCCCCCATCAGCAAAGTCAGGTTTGCCACAAAACTACCCTGCACTCACTCAAACCAAGCATCAGCCACTAGATGCTGGGGCAGGGGCCTGGGGAGGCCCTGATGGTAAAACTGGGCTACACCCTCGATAGTGTAGGCAGTAGGGAATAGCCAGGCCCCTGGCGAGGAAATCGAGGGTCAGAGGGACCCAGCAAAGAGGTTATTGCCAGGGAGCTGTACCATCACTAAGCAGCCAGATTGCAGGTAGCGGGGAGGCTGGCCGGTCGGCAGAACTCCACATCCACACAGAGATCAAGACAGTGTGCACGATGGAAGCGTGGAACCAAGGCTGGGAGCCCCCAGCAAGCCGCACCCCTGTCCAGGTAAGGCAGAATGAATGGACGAAAATAGCCTCGACCTGTCAAAAGCTACCTCCAAGAGTCACCTTGGAAGGCAGCCCTGGAGAATAGCAGTATTTGATTGACACACCCCACCCCAAGGCACAGCCTCGCTTGCAGAATCTGGCATAATTCCTCACGGTCTAATGAGGTTTGTGGATTTTATCGATTTAAGGGGGAAAAGCTGCAATTCACTCTCCCT